TCTATGTAAAACGAATGCACTAGGATCACGAATCCCCAAATAATTACCAATTAAACCCTAATTTCACAATTTTGATAATTCAATAAGAATTTGATAAATCAATGCTCCTAAATCTATTCAATACTCTCTCTCGAGATGTATTAAACCTATTCTCATAAATCATCAGCCTATATCTCTATGACGGATGCAATTTTACAAGAACGCATATAATCTTTTTGTGAGCAATTAAAGATTTACATAGGGCATAGGGGTATATTTCTATCCCCTATCGGACCCTATGATGAATTATATATGTCGAGTCTAATCTAATTTTCTCAAATTCAGAATTAAACCACCAAATTCACACAAATCAAGTGCACATTAATTGTGGAAATAAATAAACCAACATAATCCATTCAAATATCCATCAAACTAATAATTCAAAATCATGAAATAGCAAGTTTAATAAAAATTACATGGTTCATCGATCACCTAGTTGCAAAAATCTAGCCTATCATGATAAAAATAACGAAAACTAACAAAATATGAATGAAATACATCACCGGGTTATCAAAGATTGACGAAATCTCGTAAATCTCGCATCAATTACTTGTTCTTGCCTTCAATTCCACTCCAAGATGAATGCTTTTGCCTTCCCAGTCGTTCGTGCGGCTTCTGGACGTCTTGTTGCTATTTAAACCCGTCCAAATTAGGTTACCAAAGAAGTTGCAATCTTATAAGGAAAGTGCAAAATTCGGAAAAATTTATACCTATGCGACCGCATAGGCATAACCTATGCAACCACATAGGTATAAGAAAAACGCCCCTTTTTAATCCCTGGAGGTTCACTCGCGGTCGCATAGGTTTTATACTATGCGACCGCATAGTAGAGCTACTTTCTTGTTTGAGTCATTTGGGTCCTCAATTTTCATTCCTTCACTCCTTGACCTCCTCTCTTGTTCCTAGTTGCTCCAATGTTCCCTTATAATTTCCAATTGGTTCTTGGCTTGATCAATTGCTTGATGTGTTCATCGGATCAACTTTCAAATAATTGCAATTTGGTCCCTAAATTTTCATTTTGCTCCAATTTGGTCCTTTTTCGGCTCTTTTCTCCTGAATTCCACCATTTCCATAGAATTTCCTACATTGCACGAATTTGACAAAGTTAAATAACAATTCAATCATTTTACTTGTATTTAAGTCATGTTTGTGACGTAAATAAGTATGCAAAAACACACTTATCAGTAACCTATTAAAAATTATATTTTACTAAGATAAGAAATTTAAAAGGTAACCTTTTGGCTCATTCTTATAAATTGTTTATAAATATTCAACTTACTTTTTATCTATGCATTTTTGAAAGAGGCATAATTTCTATCCACTTAAAAACTCATATCGAGCATGCTTGCATAGCCAAACAATGTCCAACAAGCAGAATCATTCTCCATGCATAATCAATCACAACGACAAACTTAGTTTGACTCACAATTTGAGGTCAATTACCTTGTCACTTTTAGCCATTTCGCTAGGTTGATTAGTACATCTAATAGGGATTGCATAATCAATCAAATCAACCAGAACCTTCCACACAGGTTCGTAACTTGTAAGCATAACTGATTTCACTGTTTTCCAAAGCCATTTCACATAGCAACTGCAAAATGAAGCAAGTGATAGAATCTACGAACTTCAATAGAAATTACAACAGGGCTACTAAACTAAATCAACCAGCTACAACGAGGTGGAAAACCTCTTCATTCATAAGCTTTTGAGACTCCTCTTGGAAGTTCTTAGTTCTGGAATAGCGAGCATACCCGTCCTTCAATAACTATTTTACTATTTGAAAATTCCATACACATATTTAATGCAATTGTAAATTGAATAGGCGTTGACTATTTACTGATAGACATGGTTTTATGCGCAATCTTTCACCAAGGTTGTCCTTTCCCTCCAATTCGCCTTGCCAGCTCAAAATCCTTCTTCACTGAGCAATAAGAAAAACAACGCTTTATTGAATTAGTAATGCTCGGTCAGAATGAGCCTAGTGCCCAGATAATAGGCTAATTGCAAGGAATGCAAGATAATTATAAAAAAGGACAGAAGTTTAGCCAAAGCCTTGATTCTACTGGCAATGAGGTTGTAACCCTTCAGTTCACTCCAATTGTAATCTAAACAACTCTAATTATCATGGCAGATCACATATCTAGATTTGAATCCATAAACAATACGAAAAATATAACTAGGAATATGAGATTATGAAGCTATTATAAAATGAAGGGCATGCTCTTATCTACTGAAAATACTTTGGTTTTCAAAAGAGAGGCAAGCATTCAGAATACTCGTCCTAGTCAACAATCCCTGTTTTTAGGACTTGATAAAGAAATGGTATAAAAGAAACTACAAAGCACAACTATGCAACCAAATAACAATTAGAACTGGTTGGAATCCTTGTACATCCATTAGTGATGAAAAACATTGAAACATTTAATGAGCAAAAATTAATCAGTTTCACACGCTTATCTACTGAAAATGCTTTTGGCTTTCAAAACAATGGCAAGCAGTCAGAACACGCATCCTATTCAACGGTGTCTATTCTCAATAGCTTGAAAAAGAAACGGTACGGTACAAAAGAAACAACAGAAGGCAATTATGCAACCACACAATTAGATCTAGTTGGCATCCTTTCACATCCATTAGTGATGAAGAACTTAGAAAGCATTTGACAAATAAAACTTACTTAGTGTCACGCGCTTAGCATGAATTGCACATAGCATTGCCTCTTCAAACAATTGCACTATATAATCCTCTGCGGCCTGCAAAAATAGCCAGCCAAAAAGGACAACACGCTGAGGCAACCATGGTCAATTATTCCAGAATCGAAGACTAAGCATATGTTCGGCAAGTGTTTATAAACTGTTTAATTTATAAATAGATTGAAATGAGTAGTGGATAAGTGGTAGTACCTAACTACCTATAGGTCTCACGAAAAATGTAGATAAAAAATTGTTTGATTGTTTATAAACACTTGCAAAACATACACTAAAACTATTTGCATGACATTATGAAACACATTTTAATAAGAGAATATTTTATCTGCTAAACATTAAAAATTTTCTCTTTTACACAATCGCAGGCTTTAAAAAAATACGGTTAGCATATATCTAGGCTCAAGCACCAGAATGTCTTGAATAAAGTTGTCATAAAGAGGTTCATGCACATGAAAGAATATCGACAATAAAGAGAATCATAGCATGATACTGCCAGAAGCAAACACATTTTGAAAGAGCTTAACACCTCCTGAAGGGCTACCAAGGCTTCTGCTTTCCAACGAGCGACCCGTGGCGCGTAGAAGTGACTAATCTCTTTTACCTGTTGTATTTCACAAAATAACGTGTTTCAAATTTCCTGAAAAAATCAAGTACAGAGAAGCACAGGAAAATTTGAATTTCAACATGCTGGTGCAACCCTTATGCTAAATCTTGATCTCGCATTACAATAATAAGCTGGAAGTCTAGTGAGAAAATGATGCTGATGAATATGTAGAGAATTAAACATACATATGTTATCCACTTAATATTGGAGCAAGACATCTCAAATTACGTTATAGATAACTAAGAACCTTAATACAGTCCCACGCTGACCAAGTCACTCCAAACCAATTCAAAATTACATGGCCATTCAAACCAATTAAAGAAGCAACTAATGGACTTGGTTCCGTAAAGAAAGTCTTAACCATATTGCATCATTTCAATTGAGGTTTTCAATCTAAAACAATTTAGAAGAGAATGAAAGGCGTGAAGTGATGGGAATTAGTTGGTGGCACTCAATTTTTAAGGAAAGGAACTGCATAATAGAAGAAGTTAAAGAAACAAAGGACGGTCATATCTATATCTAATCAGAAACTACAGATTGAACCTGTGGAGATGTGATGCCAATATGGTGGTTTAGAAAAATTACAAGCACATGGATGTCATTTAAAATTGTGGTAAAAACAAATATAAGCACCAAATGTAGCAAATAAAGATTTATTTTCCATATCATAACATCTCCTCGAGGAGCAAAGAATTAAACCTGTGAAATCAATTCAGTGTCAAAAGGCACAAAATTGTCCAGTCCCATCTTACTCTATAGGTAGCTCGTGTGTGTGTCTGTGCGTGTGTGTTTATATCCGATATTATTAAGAATTCAATTGCATTACAAGGCAAAAATACATGCAGAATTAGGGGAATAAGGATTGAATTCGTGACATATCAATTAAATCTTGAATGTCAGGACCATATAGTTGCCTTAATGCTTCAATCAGTCCAAAGT